TGTCTCTGTGAATCTGAATAAAAAACAGGTTTGTGGAAAAACAAAATGTAGTTGCATTAGGTTTAAGTTTTGGCGTAGAAGGGATTATTTTTCACTAATAATGTGTCATTTGGAAACAGGGTACTGCATCTGGGATTTTAGGTGGTATTGTCAAGGGCTTTAAGGGAGGAAAAATGGTCCAGAGTGGAGATCCTGCAGCAGTTCCTAAATCAACTTTCGATCGTTTAGAGGGCACCTTTTCAAAGTCCCAACTGTCAGAACCCTCCCCGCCTGTAGACCATCAAGAAGTTGTGGAGCTTAATATAGGTTTTGTGCTATCCTATCTCCACGTATTCGTCCTTTCTGCATCTTTCTCCTTGTTGATTGTTAACTCAGTTTATGATTTTAATATAGATGACATTGAAATAGATGAACCTCTATGTTTAGCATCTACTTTGTCACCACATGATGTCAAAGACAAAAAGAGAGGTAAACCTTTTGTAATATTCAACCTGTGTTTTTATTTTTCTGTAAAAAATAGTAAATGCAATAACAGTGTCATTTAATTGTTGTGCTGTAGAAGGGGAATCAGAAAGGGAAAAGTTATTTGAAGGTGGTACTGGCGATACAAAGCCCAGAGTTAGAACGGCCGAAGAAATTAGAGCTAAATATAGAAAGGCTGAGGTATATTCACATGATGATGATAGTTTGGGTGATAGAGAACTTACTCTATAAATTAATTGTCTTCTCTGATCTGGTAAGAACTCATTTCAGGGTGCTTCATCTGCGGCTTCTCAAGCACGAAATAAGCTCATGGAGAGGCAGGAAAAACTTGAGGTAGGATATCTACTATGTTAGTTCACAGAAGAGTTTTCTCGATTTGCTTTATAAAAAGAAGATATCAATGAACTTCTATGAAATGGTTTCACGGGATTCAGTCAATTGAAGGAGCTTACTGCTGCTCATTTTATCTTTTGTTAAGTGAGGAATGTTGTGAAAAAGTCATTGGAGGGTTTACAAACTATTACCTTTGGTATATACTATTTGCTTGTAAACTAATTCTAGCAGAAACCTCACAAACTAATTTTTCTTTATTTCTTTGCGTTTCTTTTTGTGGGTCCAAAAACGAGTTCATATGTTTATTGATAAAAGATTGCTATCACGATCCAAGCCAATTACGTGAACAATATTTCATTTCTAATCTAAGTTTGTTCTTCTAGGTTGCATACCTTCAACTAGCAAATGTTTAAATGACTCTTAAACTTACTAGTATCCTTTTCTCTGTCTAATCCCCGAATTAAACTTTTATCAGAAAATCAACCGGCGTACTGAAGATCTGCAGAATGGGGCTGAAGACTTCGCATCACTGGCAAACGAGCTTGTGAAGACATTGGAAAGTCGAAAATGGTGGCAAATTTGAAAAAAGAGGTTCAGCTTTATGACATTAGATTTGAATATCCCTGTCCTGGTATGAGAATCCTTCTGCAATACCCGAAAGGCGAAGTCATTCAGTTAAGAAAGCCACCTGCAGTGTGATCAGGGAGATATCCAAGAGGTCGTTCTTGTTCTACAATGTATAGAATTGCCACCTCATGTCATTGTAATCCTTGATACAAAGTAATTTATTTTGCTAGGCTTGAGAAACATCGCCGGACGCATTTTTCTTTACGTTCATAATTGTACCAAAATATTAAGAAGAAAAATAAAATGTTATGAACTGTGGTTATTCATTAGTGTGGCAATTCATGCATGTTAATATCTTATGGAAAGCATACAAACAGCACGGCAAGCTTGCGTCCATATCAAGCAAAAAATCAGGTAAATGTCGATCATGTAGAGATAAAAACGTCACCTACCAAAAGGCACTAAGGCCAGACCCCTCCTCCAAGCTTCTTTCCGACGAGATCCCTCAACTCAGTTTCACTGGGGAACCTCTGCTCCTTCAGCTTTGAGAAGACCTATGTCCGACAAGATTCAAAACGATGAGCAGCTAGCAGAGACAGAAATGGAGAAATGGAGAAATTTCGACATTTAACTCGATCAAGAAGAATAGGGTAGAGTTATACCAATTCACCATTACAATACACTTCAAACGCTCCTGTGCTTTGGAGGAAGGATTGGATGAAGTTTCCCAAAAGCCAAGTGCTTGCCATACTTCCAAACCTATTTGCTTGCAGGGTCTGGTACCAAGGAGGTGGTGTCGTTATCCCCAGCCTCGAGAAAACATGTTTTCCGGCCATTATAGTCCCGATAATTCCTACTTGAACAACCGGTATCAGTTTGCTCAGCAGGCGTCCTTGGAAGGGGAGGGTGGTGGTTTGCCAGTATTACATCGATCCCGGGAAATGATGTTACCAGCATGTTTTTCAATGTTATTGCAGTTCCTCTGCCACAGGACATGTAAAGCACATGTAGGTTTAAGAATCCAAACATAAGATTATCTAACTCGGAACTGGGATAAGGATCTTAAATACATGATTAAATTTGAGAACTGTTATTAACACCCCAAAACAATTGCCATGCACTTTTCCGAGAGCAATTTCTCCTTATATTTTTACGAAAGAGGAGAGCATGATCACGTTAAACAAAGCATTTTAAAAAACAATTTATAATCAAAGAGATTGGGAACATGTCATATAGAAAATGATGTACAGGAACCTGTAAGAACAAGATGTACAGAAATCAATATTGATGGTGCTTCCAATGCCAAGCTCCCCCAAAGCCATTAGATTTCTGCAGTTGAACAAACAAATGAGAATTTCAGCATATAACGATCATCTATCACTGTATATAATGAATAGTCCAACTATCGAACAAACGTTCGCTCTCTATGTTATCAATACATTTTAAACAATATCAATACAATATCTATGGGTGTAAAAGAACAGACGTCTCGCACAAAGAGTTTTTGTGTAACGCATGCATGTAAACATTGGAAATGAATAGTCGGACCTGGTGGGTGGGGAATTTGAGGGGCTCTTGGAGAAGCTGTTCTAGCTGGGGGTCTGCTTGGTGAGGATCATCGGCATCAAGAAGAGGATAATGAGTGGTAGTTTTGGGAGGTTTGGGCGTGAAAAGGTTAAAAATATCAGTGCAGAACAGGAAGATCGATAACCCTACCAGAACTAACAGAGCTCGATCCATTGGAGAAGAAGTGATCATCTTTTAATGGCGGATATAGTTGATTTTTATGACTTACAAAAATGTGAAACTAATTAGTTCCAAGGCCTAGGATTTACACGTGCCTTGTATCAGAAGCATGCAGATTTGTAGGATCTTCTTATCCATGCTGAGACCAACAAGGGTTTTGGGCCAATCAAATGCATGAGTGAACAGAAAAGTTTCGTAAGTTTCTTTATCCTTTCTAGTTTGCTAGAATAGTGTACTCTTCTTTTTACACGAGTTGAATTATTTAACGATACTAATTTAGTGTAGATTATAACTTGTATTAAAAAAATAGTAGAACAGAAGGCATGGAGGGGATACATGGATGCTTATAGCTATAAATTTTGAACTGTGATTTCACCTCACAACCCTCATTGCTTCACAAGGGCGCCGATATTGTGATACTCGGGTTCATATGTATGAGAATGGAGATACATGAATGCTCAATAAGGAATCTATTATTTCTAAATGAGATGAGAGTGAAAACCGCTTCAATACTTGTTAAAGTCATCACTTAATGTTTGAGACCTAATGGATGTCCAATTAGTAGGAATTTTTTCAAAAGTTGGAACCGATTTGGAGTTACCCTTTAAAGTTAGATAGTTATCCTGTACTTGATCCAAAAAAACATATTGTTATAGTTAAAGAGAGGGAAGAGTTCAAAACTATTATATTAATTTTAGGGAAGTGTGAGTTTCGAAAATAATAGGAAGCATCGTTGGTAATTTTTTTGGTCGAAAAGCATCATTGGTACGATGTAACATATCTTGCACAATTACGAAAAGAACATGACTAGCGTGCGATAATTTTATTTGTATTATGTCCCGAGAATAAAAGAATGTCAAATATGAGTGTTTTATGATTAACATTTGAAAAAATTTGTACCCAAAATCTTTTCAGTAAGAAAAAAAAAATATATAGTCAAAGTCGAGGCAGAAAAAATGAATTTTTTTTAACAATTTGGCCTAGAAGAATTGAGATAAATACCAAATTTTGGGTTGAGTGTCAATTTGTAGAAGTAAACCAGTCCCAATATACTTAAACGGTAATTAAGAGACTAATTTACTTGAAAGTTTTTTTTTTTTTCTTTAGTGTCAATTTGTACAAGTAAATCAGTCCCAACATACTTAAACGGTAATTAAAAGACTGATTTACTTGGACGGTTTTTTTTTTAAAAAATAATTATTTGCACGGCGGGTGAGTTTAGTAGTTAAATGCATATCAATAATATGAACCATACAATTCTCATGGGCTGCTTTTCATTTCCATCTTATTCAAATCATGTGTGACAGCCCACCAATCAAACTCCCTCATTAGGTCAAACCAACAATACCACCAAATTTAGCAAATTCTAATTTCCACAAATATCATGCACATCGTTCCGTAAGCTAACACGGCAACCGATGCAATGGCGGAATTTGGATCTTTATAATTAAAAAAATAAAAATAAAAATTTTGCAACAGTAACAAAAATCAATCATTCCATACACTCTGATGCGATGTGATTTTGAGTGATTTTATTTTTTTAACAACTAATTATTTAACGAACTAACGTTATCTTCTAAGGAAAAAAAAAACAATAATTCTAGTTGTTGAATTTTAATCAATAATAAACAGTAAAGTTTCGGTATAGAATACTGGTTGCACGCTAGAAAACGTCACAAAACTAACAGAACAAGTTGAAGCCCACTGATCGAAAGATTTTTCAATATACCGGTCCATGAGGTAATACATCATGCATTATTATACAAATGATGAAGCATATATGTTAAAAAATTAATAACTTAAAAAATAAAATTTTTCATCATTTTTATTAAAATACGTGATACAATACTTTCGATCTCAATAAAAAATTTCTCCCACTACCAAGTGGCCATGGCCGAAGCTTCAGACTTTCTCAGTCTTGGGTCCTATATATAACCGACACATGCGCCCATCTTCGTCCTCATCAAAAGGGATCGGAAACATTCAATGTTCAAACTTTTACTTCGAATGTGAGAAAATCCTGCTCCAAAATAAAAATATAAAATAATACAGATTTCTTTTTAACCTTTTTACCCAGAAGAACACATTGCCAAGAACTCTGAGACAAAAAGAATATAAATTGTATTTGTTTAGTTGTTTGAGGAAAAGAAATCGAAAACCAATTTGTTATCTCATATATATATTTTCTCAATTTTAAAATCCTAGATATTTTTTTCATCAGAAGTCTCTTCTTTTGGTGTTTGCTACAGCTTCAAATACTCTCTCTCTCTCCTCTCTTTCTCTCTCTAGAAGCCTGAGGGAGACCCGGAACTAAAACCCTGGTGCTGGTGTTTCTGCTCCATCTGGGTCTCCAATGGCGAGTTGGGTCCTCTCTGAATGCGGCCTAAAGCCTCTCCCGCCAGTTTGGAACCGACCCAGAACCGCAGTTTGCTCTAGCTACCCGTCAAAAGTTCGAATTTTTCGGTCAAACCAGAGCTCGGCGGATCTGAGATTGGATTCGACCAAAATCGCAGGTGGGTTGTTTAGAGAGAGAAGATGGGGTCTAAACGTGAGCGCTCCGGTGAGGGTAGCTTCTGTTGAAGAGGAGGAGGAGAGGGTTAACGGCGTTAATGGCGGCGGAGATGGAGAAGAGGAGGTGGGATTTGATCCCGGTGCGCCGCCGCCGTTCAAATTGGCCGACGTTAAAGCTGCCATTCCGAAGCATTGTTGGGTTAGGGACCCGTGGAGGTCAATGAGCTATGTGGTGAGGGATGTGCGTGGTGGTTTTCGGGTTGGCTGCGGCTGCGGTTTATGTGAACAAGTGGTTTGTTTGGCCTCTGTATTGGGCTGCTCAGGGGACAATGTTTTGGGCTCTCTTTGTTCTTGGCCATGATTGGTAATTACTATTCATTCCCTATATTCCCTTCTTGTATATTTGTGTGTTTCTTTTTAATACGATATTCTACTTTAAACTAATTTAAAGTGAGGCGAGGGGTTTCAAAACTTGAGGGCATAGGGGGAGCTACACCCACGTCTGCAATATGTCAATTTGTGTTTTCTGGTGTGAATTGTTGGTCTGGTTTGTGATCGTGCAGTGGCCATGGAAGCTTTTCGAATAATCCCAAGCTAAACAGTGTTGTGGGGCATCTCTTGCATTCTTCAATTCTTGTACCCTATCATGGATGGTATGTTCTTGATGATAGATTAGTACAGTATGGTGCATTTTTTATTTTGAGTATTGGTTTTGTGAGTTCCGGTAATCGAGTTGTTAGTATGTCATCGAACATTTGAAAGTATGGACTAAAATGGTGATTGAACTTTTCAGGAGAATTAGCCACAGGACTCATCATCAAAACCACGGTCATGTCGAGAATGACGAGTCATGGCACCCGGTTAGTCTTTTTTCCTTTCGTTGTAACGCTTCTCTGTTCTTCATTTTCTTGATGCATCTCAAGTTTTTCCGACTGTTTGAGGGTGTGATAAATTTCTATGCTTGCAGTTGTCTGAGAAAATCTACAAGAAATTGGATAGCATGACACGTATTTTGCGCTTCACCGTACCTTTTCCCATGCTTGCTTATCCTTTCTATCTTGTAAGGTTTTGATTAATAATTTGAACCACATAATTCATGAAAATATGTATATCGTACCTGATTGTGATTTGTTCCTGTAGTGGAATAGAAGTCCAGGAAAGACTGGTTCCCACTTTGACCCGAAGAGCGATCTATTTGTCCCGAATGAGAGGAAAGATGTGATCACTTCCACAGTATGTTGGACAGCAATGGCTGGGTTACTTGTGGGATTATCCTTTGTAATGGGTCCTGTTCAAGTGCTTAAGCTCTATGGCATTCCCTACTGGGTATGTTTTGCATCTTTAATCTTCCTATGGTTTGCTTAATCAAACAAGAATCGAAATTTGACTCCTCTTTTATTGTTAGGTTTTTGTCATGTGGCTGGATTTGGTAACTTACTTGCATCACCATGGCCACGAAGACAAATTACCATGGTATCGAGGGAAGGTACATGGATTTTCAGTTCACGATAGCCATTTCTTCTTATGATACCAAGTTGCCAACACAAAGAAAATTCCATAATTGTCTTATCTTGTCCGGTTTAAGTTTGTGGCTAAAGTTTTTGCAAAATGTTAAAAAAAATTTCCTCAAAACTTCGACAGGAATGGAGTTATCTGAGGGGAGGGCTTACAACACTGGATCGAGACTATGGATTGATCAATAACATCCACCACGACATCGGAACCCATGTGGTTCATCATCTTTTTCCTCAAATCCCCCACTACCACTTAGTTGAAGCAGTAAGTACCAACTTAATATCAACACAAGGCCATGTTTGGGGTTACCTTTAGAACGATTAAAACACTTTCACATAACCAAAAAACTCTTACGGCAGTAATTTAATGTTCTTCTTCTTCAACTTGCAGACTGAGGCAGCGAAGCCGGTATTCGGGAACTACTACAGAGAGCCGAAGAAATCAGGACCTCTACCATTTCACTTGCTTGGAAGTTTTATCAAAAGCTTGAAAAAAGACCACTATGTGAGCGACAATGGCGATGTTGTGTACTACCAAACTGACCCTAGCTTTGGTGGCTTTCCTCCATCAAATTAAAGCTTAAGTTCTTAGTTTCTTGGACCACAAGAAAAGTTTTCAATATCTAAGCATTGGCCTCTGCCATTTCCACTGGTTTTTTACTCAGAATTTTGTGGTCTAGAAAAGAGTAGTGCAATAGTGGAATTTTTATTTATTGTATTCTATTCTTTATGGAGAGAAAAATAATCTCTCGTTCTGCTATGATGCATTGTATACTCTCCTTTCAAATATGAAGATCAAATTTTTGTTCTCTTCCTACACTTGCTAAGTCATCTGGTTGAAATCAAACGGAAACAAAGAACGTTATTAAACATGTTTAAAAAAAAATTTACGTGTGGTAATCATTTTCCGAAATATATAGTAGGTGAAAGTAACAATCTTTTGCTTTGATAGAAATTCGTGGATTCAGCGGGGGATTGAGATCCACTTCGAATCTCTATGTTCAAAACCTGAGAGTTTCAAATCACACAATTCCAATCCTACGACTCCTATTAGCCTTTCCGCGGACTAAGAGATTCGGATCACTCAATTTCAATCCTACGACCCCTATTAACCTATCTCATTGGCCCGCTTCCCAAAAATCCAAAAACTGAACCCCTATTAAAGAATCTGGATCTCTCGTACATAGAAATCCAAACTAAATCTCATTCCTTCAGTTGGGTACTGATCATTCTTTTTGCGGACCATGTATTTTTCCATGATTAAAGCAAATTTTGCCCCACTACTTTGGTCTCAATGCATCGAGTTAATCAAATCCCTAACTCTGGACAAATGGCCGAGTCATTTTCTCAGACAACGTCCGGGCCTTGTATGAGGGTGATATTGATATTCCTCTTTATTGATCAATATGAAGTGTCACCTTCAACTCAAATAACAAGTTTATTTAAATAACAAGTTTAATAATTAATTAAGACCTTTTTATGAGAATTGCCAGGCGGACTTGCTCGAAAGAGAGTCCAAGTGGCATAGCCACCCACAAGGTTAAGGTGGGCTGTAATCCAAGAAGATTTTCTATAAGGGTAGTGTTATTCATGCGCACATTTTTATTTCTTATACACTTCTCTTAATTGTCGATTGTTCGAATCGAATGAATTGAAGATGATCACTGACAAAATATTAATAAAGTTGTGTTGGAAGTAAAAATGGGTTTGTTAATAGATCTATTCTTTTGTAAACTCATGCTTAGACCATCTCCAATGGTGACCTAAAACCTAAAAATATTTAGCCCAAAAAATTTAGATTTTAGCTCAGAGACAGCTTTTCTACTCCAACTCTTCTAGCCTAAAATTTTAGCCCCAAATTATCAAAGAATGAATTAAGGCTAGTTTTTTTTTTAAATTAACTTTAAAAAAAATTATGTAGACTATCCTAAATTAATTTTTTGAACATTTTAACCTAAAAATATTTAAATTCCGATACATTTTGAAAAATCACTAAATCAATACATGAAAATCATGATAAACCACATAAACTTAATACAATCGAAAACTTATAGACTACATAAACTTAATAATGATATCCACCATCTTGACTTGGTGATGGACTTGGGTGATAGTGAGGTGAATCATCATCTTGAAATATACTCCTTGTGGCATTCCTTCATAAAATTTCATTTTGCTTACCACGTAAGTATTTCTTCCTCTCTGGGGTGTATTTGTCAAGGTCCTCCATTATCAAATTAGTTTCGTCCCTTCCACAAAGTGCACGCTTTGTTGATAATCTTCCACCGATCATAAACACTACCAACTTCCCTTCGACCAGCGTTGGAGTTTTCATGGAACTTATCAACGATTTTACCCGACAAAACCTTTCTATTTTGATTGGTGCCGACGGCACAATCTTCGTTAACCGAAATCCATGCCAAATATAAAGCAATATCTTCGTCAAATGTCCAATTACGACCTCTAACATGCTCTTTTGCCATCTTGAAAATTTTGGAAATGAGAAGAAATGGTATAAAGAAAAATTGGAAGAATTGTAGGAGAAAAGTGAGTTTTGTGTGGATGTTTGAACAAATACATAGGTATTTATAGAGTTTTTGGTTGAATTTTAAGTTAAATAATTTTTTAAAATTATTCTAGCCATTGGATTTTAATTTGGACCGTTAGATTTTTTTTTTTACCGTTATATTTAATTATATTCGATTTAAGCCGTTGGATTCAATAAATACATAAATATAAACTAAAAAAAAAAAAATTTGAACCTGGACCGTTGGATTAACCAACGGCCCATTTAAACGTAGCCGTTGGATTATAAAAAGTAGCCGTTGGGCTACTTATTGCACTAACAGGCGGGGGAACACCCCCACGTGTGGCTGTTGCTTTTCTGAAAATGCCTAGCGCGTGCAGCGCGTATGCGCGTAGGGAAGGGAACTAGGCTTCACAACCCCGGTTTAAGTCTCAGTTGGTGGGGCCCATTTTACTTTGTGGCCTAAAATTGGGCCGGTATTTAACCCTCAAATGATTTTTAGGTTTTAGGTTAATTTTGGTCATGGGTTGGAGTGGATTTTGGGGTGGGGGGGTGGGGAAGGGGAAATTTTAGGTTATAAGTCATTATTGGAGATGGTCTTATAGCCTACTCAATTTCAATACAGATTATTATTTAATGTATATTTAGTAGAGGATAGGTAGTAAATAATATGTTTTATGCTAAAAATTATAAATTATTACTATTTACAGTCCCCTTTTATTCCATTCTTTAAAGAAAAGGACCATGTACCCTATGTAATTTAGCCTCTATGCTTCTTACTCAAGAAAAGAAAAATAATTTTTTTAAATCCACAATTAAATCTCTATCTTTGCAATTCCTTACTTTCCGTTGCAATTTTCCAATGAATGTCACATTTGGTACGTTCTTAATATCTATATTTACTTATTCTTGATTTAATTAGTAGGTTAATTATTTATATGTCCTTGAATTTATCGGTTAAGGTTAATGATTTTGAGAATAGTTTATATTATATTGTTGCTCTTTTATATTGATTATTATATAATTTTATATAAGCAAAAAAATAAACATATGATTTTATGGTACTATTAAGCTAACCCACCAAAAAACAAAAAAAAAAATCATAACTTCGCCCTTGAGTCCAACCAAAACTCTCTCCCTTGTAGGGTTCCATGTGGTTTAGTTTTTAAAACCCACGTATGTAGCAAGTCCATGCGGGACTCTTTTGGGGCGCGTCCCCTTAGTATTTTCTCCTTTTTATTTATTTTTTATTGTGCGACGAGTTTGTTAATTAACTGTGGCTTTCTCTTTGGGCAAGGCATTAGCTGCTCTAATGTATGGAGGAGAGAGGCATTTGAACTTGGGTTGAGGCGGATGCCTAACTGGTTTAACCCATATATCTAATCGTCTCTTTAAAGTAGAATATTATTATATATAAAATGCTGCAAATGAGTCAAGCAAATTGTAAAGGGTCAATCACATTTTACACCTATGTGATCTAGGGCATATAATACTTTAGTCAATTGTTTTGAAATTTACAAAAATAATCTTTAAAGTTACAATCTTTCTTAATGCTTTTGGTAAAACAATGGACAATTCAACTAAAATATAAATCCTACTCGCTCTTAGAATATTAGTACTACAGTCTAATAATATATTCTTCACTTATAAGAAAGATCTTAAGTTTGGATATAATGAATGACGCATTTAGTATCGAATTATTATGGTATGCTCATTATATAGCTGGATCCAAATTTTCCATGCTTCTACATTTTCCCCTCCATAAAGCTCTATGGTCAACCAAATTACTGGACCACTACACTCAACTGTGCAAGGCCATCTGAGCTTAGTACCAATTGAACCCGATATGCTCCCAAATTAAGAGTCCGCAAAGTCGGTGAGTTGGAAATTGGTATTCGTACCAATGTGTCTCAAATTTCAGAAAAATGGAAGACTATCAGGTCAACAACTTCGGCATCTTTTCTACTTCTCCTCCTCGATGAGGGGTAAAAAGAGAAGAATATCCCCAAAATGGCTACACAAATGGAGATGAAGGACCCAAATGCGACCCACTCGTTTCCTCAATTTTCAACTCCATGTTTTAATTCTTCTTCATGCTTGCTAGTTCCTTAGTACTAAGCCTACATGCAATTGGACGTCAAGATGATATTTAGTTGTAAGCGATATGTTATTTTAGTGGATACTAGAAGATGAGCATACACTTTGTGTGTGAACAATTTTTTTTTTTTTTTTTATTAAGGAGTGTGATTAGTTTTTTAATTTTTTAAAAAAGAGTATGAGACAATGATGATGGAATCTCTTAATAAGGGCATATTTTTCTTAATATTACATATTTACTATTTTTCCCTCTTTATGTAAATATTATGTATCAAAAGTGAGGGTAAAATAGGGAAAATGGTGTTCACATCCCGGCCTGGCCTCCACCACATCCCAAGCACGACTTCACCGTAGCACGATATTGTCCGCTTTGGACCCTGACCACGCCCTCACAGTTTTGTTTTTGGAAACTTACACGAGAACTTCCTAGTGGGTCACCCATCATGGGATTGCTCTCGCACACTACTCATTTAACTTCGAAGTTCCAATGGAACCCAAAGTCAGTGAGCTCCCAAAAAGCCTCGTGCTAGGTAGAGATGAGAATATACATACAAGGCTTACATGATCCACTCCCTGGATGATGTGAGATCTTACAATCCACCCCTCTTATGGGTCCGACGTCATCGTCAGCACACATCCGCCATGGATTGCTATGATACCAAATTATTGTAAGATCCCACATCGCCCAAGGGAGTGAGCTTATATGTATATTCTCATCTCTACCTAGCATGAGACCTTTTGGGAGCTCACTAGCTTCGGGTTCCGTAGGAACTCCGAAGTTAAGCGAGTAGCGCGTGAGAGCAATTCCATGAAAGGCGACCCACTAGGAAGTTCTCGTGTGAGTTCCCAGAAACAAAACCGTGAGAGCGTGGTCAGGGCCCAAAGTGGACAATATCGTGCTACTGATGGAGTCAAGCCTGGGATGTGGTGGGGGCCCGGGCTAGGATGTGACAATTTGGTATCAGAGCCTAACCCTGGTCGTGGTATGCCGACAAGGACGTCGGGCCCCTAAGGGGATGGATTGTAAGATCCCATCACCTAGGGGAGTGAGCCTTGTATGTATATTCCTATCTCTATCTAGCACTAGGTTTTTTAGGAGCTCACTGGCTTCGGGTTCCGTAGGAACTCCGAAGTTAAGCGAGTAGCGCGTGAGAGCAATCCCATAATGGGTGACTCACTAGGAAGTTCTCGTG